TATATTTTGACTTGATTTTCAAGAATTAATCATATTTTATCTTATAATTTAATAAAAGATTTTATTATAAATATAACTTTCTCAAGGTTTTGAGAGTCTTTTTACACATTTTTTTTTATCACTTTATAAATTCTATGAAATATTCTCACTTAAAAATTCTTGCTAATTCTGTTATGTTAATTATTATTAAAAAGAAGTTGTTATATCTTGAGACACATCTTAGATTAATTACTCTCATAATTGTAAAAGTTTCATATAAGAAGACAAATCATGATTCCTAATTGATCATGATGATGTATGATATTAAAAGGATGAACAACACTGTATAACAGAAACTACTCATGAATAATTTGTTAATAAAAATATTTTTTCCTTCTGAGTTTCTTTTTCCTTCCTGCTAGCATATATATAGAAAATAAATCGATACATAACTGAGGATTTCATAAAAGGACAAACTGACTACCACAAAAATTAATACAATCTATAATCAAGGAGTAAGCTTAATGTTTTTAATTACCAAATCACCATCCAAGCTTCCTTCCTCTTTTTACCTCTTATGAATTTTCTACATGTTCAAAGAAATGTGCAGCACTTTTTTTTTTTTTTTTTTAAGCTACGATAAGTTTCAGAACCCATTTGGTTTACATTCTAAGATTTGTGAATGCATTTTTTTAAAAGAAAAATTACATTGAAATGTGTGCTTTAGTATTAATTAGGTTGAGGAATAAATTTACTTCCACGGAAAAAGACAAATCTTTACTTCTAGCAGCTACTTAGCTTTTGATTTTGGCATAAGCTACAAATGTATGTTTATGTTTATATTGCCTATAATTTTGAATTTATTAGGTTTACTTTTAGTTATATATATATGGTGAATTGTGATTAATTATAATAATAAAAATATTTATTGAAGTCTTGATTGAATAAATAAAGTTCTTGTATTGAGTTTTGTTAATTGTATTTTTTTATTTTTTATTTTTATTTTCCATTTAAAAGGGATTGACTACAAACTCTTCCATCGAATAACAATTATTTGATACAGATAAAGTATTAATATGAGTATTTCTAATAGTGCAACTAAAGGGGAGTCGTTTAATTCACATTATTTTATAAGTCGTATCATGCCATGTCATATTTAATTTTCTTTTAACAAATTTCAACTCCGAGAGTGCAATCATTTAGGAATTTAAAATGGGTCCCGCCAGCATCATTATATTTATGATTTATATTTATTATCGTTTCAACTAAATATAATAACTTATTTGTACTTTAATTTTAAAGCAATAAATATATATATAATTTAAAATATTATTTTAATAACTTATTATTTTTTACTTATTAGAATGAAATTTAGTAATAAGAAAGTTTATGAGAATTCACACATTATATTCAACTATCTTAGTTAAACTTCCTTAATTTTAATTTGTACTATAGAACATAAATATTTGTTTATTTGATATTAATTGAATATAAAAATGACAGTATTATTTTTATTTAAATAAATATGAAAAAACTAAAAAAATACTAATTATAAACTAACAAGTATTGATCAAAGAGATTAAACTCAGTCATTTTAATTAAGGTTTTAGATTCAAATTTTATAAATAAAAAAACATGATTGAAGGTGAAAACTCAACCAAAAGTGATTAATGAAGTTTTTTTTGACAAAAATTAACTTATCACCAAAGTTGAAGGATATTTTATACCAATAACAATTAAAAAATTACTAATTATAAATTAAAATAGGTCTTAAGTCATTCAAATTAGAAGTAGTATGAGTAAAAATTTAAGTCTCACGTCAACTTAAAAATAAGATTAAAAAAAAAAAGAATTTAAAAGTGAGAAAGAATTGAATTAGAAGTAAATTCAGTTTCTAAAAAAGAGAGATCGAAGACGTTAGGTTATATAACTTCAAAGAGCTGGAAAAATGAAATGTAATATAGTTTCCCACAAAACACAATAAAATTAACAGCACGTCTTAAATCCAAAACCTTTTGGGCTTCCTTGATTGACGAGGCAATTTCTGTTTGAATAGATTGTTCAAAAACCAAAAAGTAGGCCTACCGGGCTTTTACTTTGTTGTGCCAACAACTGAAGTGGATATCCCAATTCCTAATGGTTTAGTCTGAATTGTAACATTGATGAATGGTTTTCGAAAATGGTTATTTGTTTTTCCAGATTTGAGTTTAACTTTATTAGGGTTTTAAAAAAAATTATACTCATAAGCTTTTTGTCTTTTCTACATTAGAATATGTATTTTTTTAACATGATTTTAAACTATCATCTAAACATGCACTTAGTTTCCTCATTCAAACCACTTTATTTATTTACACTTTTGGTAAATAAATTAGTATCAGTAAACTATATAAAATCAAGCAATTTAAATAAAATTGTAGGATGGTATTTCCATTGCAATTAATGCGATCATCATAATATTTACTTTCAACTATTGATTTCGATTCTTATATATTTATTATTAGAGTTAATCACCTATACACTATACATTACTAGTGTAAAATTTTTTCACTAACAACTAATCATATCTCTTAATAATGTTATGTCATTTGCTCATTTAATTAAATAAAAGTAAAATAAAATAATTTAAAAAATATGATTGATTGTTAGTATAAAAAACTTTATACTAATAATGTATAGATGATTAACTCTTATTATTATACCAAACTTGTATAGCAGGGGTACTGTATATGCCTTTACAACTTAAAAATGATAAATATTGTAATCTTAATAAGTAAAGGTGGACTGAAAACCAATAAATCGTGTGCTCCATTTATACTAACCATTTTGTTAACAATTATTTATTTATTTATTATTATGATGAGAACAAAATTAAAACTTAAAACTTTATAACACATACTAATCTAAATAGTAATGACCTTATCGCACTGTAAAAGAATTATTAAATGCATCTATATGGTCTACAATTTTTATAAACTACATTTATTAATTATTCTTTACAATATATTTGAAGATTAATTTTCTTATTTTAAGACATTTTAGTTTCTCTATGCATTATTGTCACAATGCTTTTCATAAAATCAAATTTGATAATTTTGTTTTGATCCTAATTATTTAATTATAGATTTAAATTTAAAATTTCATTCATGTAATATTTTAAATTATTAATTATAATTTATTTATATAATTTTGTAAATCTTACACATAAAATCATAACAAGATTTTATATATATCTAACATGCATAATGCGATACTTAATGGAATAATAGTTGTCACTCGCTAGTAGTTTGCATTACAAAATTTCTTAGATTATATTATATATGCACATTTTTTTTTGGTAACAGATTATATGTACATTATAGTCTAAGCATATGATGACTGATCGATGAATACAAAATTCTCGTTAGTTTTATTCAAAATTTAGTTTGCTCCATTTTTGGAGTCTATATTCGATTTAAGTACTCATAAAATTAAACATTTTTGTCCTTCTGGTTTTTAAATACGTCAGAAAATAACTTCCTTTTTCCTTGAATTTGTTTAATCATTGACTGATTCAACGTTGAAGATTTCACCACAATGCTGCCGAATATGCAGACCATTGGTTCAGAAGAATATATATTTTTTCTTCTTATTTTGTTGGTTTAGAACAATATGTGATGAGTATCGTAGGAACTTCTAACATACGCCATAGCTGTCACCTTGAATCTAAAAGATTTCAACTTTGATATTTTCACGCCTCACTGATAAGAAGACAAAATTCATATTTACAGGGACGGATCTACTTAAAATACATGCAGGCACATTAATATTAATGTATTGTATATAACGAGACGGTTCTACTTACTTTTTTCTTAAAATAAAATATATGTAGTACAATTACAAATCAATTCATGAGGAATATTATCCTCACAACATAAAATTTCTGAATTAGTATTTCTTTCTATATATGTATGATGTAAAATACGATTATATTTATAAGTTATTTATATTTTATTTTTTTATTTTTTTTCCTTTAATATATAGCGTATATCACATTGGTTTGTTATTATCTTTATATTATTACTAGTCTTTAATTTCTTGAAAAATATTAGAAAAGCATAACCATTATCAAATTTAAGTGAAAATTGTATATTCAAATTAGGATAATAATTCTTTCATTATCTAAAAAAAATGTAAATTAAGAGGTTTGACGATTTTTTTGTGGGTAACCATGGTTTGAAGAGAATTGAAGATAATACGACCAAAATTTCAATACGAATGCAAGTATGCAATACTTACAAATTTACAATATGCATTTCCACATCTGATACATCACTAATTTCAAAATCTTTGTATATCATACCAGAAAACTAGGAAACGTAATGAAAACGAAAAAGAGATGACAAGGGGACGCGAGAATTTTAAAGTTGTACCTTGTGTAAGACATCGTCACATCCTAGCATGCGCATTGTGTAATGAAAGAATTAATATTCTAATTTGAATATCGGTTATCACTTTTTGCTCCCCAATAATTCTATACGTCTATGTAGGCACTAGGCAGCAAATAAGCTTGCACGCATGACTTCAGACAAACCATACAAAATTTAAGTCATGTTGCCTGTTGGAGATTACATCCACCAGTATAAAGCCAAATTAAAGAATACAAGTAGTGCAATTTCTATCTTAAAAAAATCACCTAAAATTAAATTAATCTTAAATCCATATTTTAATTTAGTATCAAAGTTTATGTTAATAATCATCGTTGAGTTTTTTAATTGATCCTCGAATTCATATTTTAATACGATATCAAAATTTATGATAATAACTATTATTGAACCTATCATATCACCGCTATCATACTATTATATATGTTTAGTCATATAAATTTTATATTCAAAATGTTTTGTCCGTATATAAGTAGAAAATATTTTTTATTTTAAAAGTTAATTGTAAAATTGAATTAGGTTTAATTTAAGTTATATATAATACATGGCAGGCCTCGGATTCATTAACTATATCCCTATTAAGCTTGATTGATACAAAAAATGATTAACATGCATGTTAGTAATGGTATTAGCACACCAACTCTTATGTTGTGCTATGCAATGGTAACCATTGTATTCCTCCCTCCAACGAATCCACTATCGTTTAGCTACCCCTCCTTTACCAGAAGTGATGGAGGGCTGAAGCTGGAAGGAGATGCAGTAGTGTCACGTTCAGAAATCCAAGTCACATTGAGCAGAATAGGCCAAAGCAACGAATACAGTGTTGGACGTGTCACACCACTTCATCACATGCTTCTCTGGGATATTAGCTCTAGAAAACTGGCAGATTTCATTACCAAATTCTCTTTTACTATCTTCTCTGAAGACTCACCCTATGGAGATGGTTTGGCATTCTTCTTGGCAGATCCAGGGCTTCCCCTTTTGAATAACATTAGAGAAGGAGGTGGTCTTGGCCTTGTTGATGGTGACCAAGTGTTGAACTCAACTCAGCACTCATTTGTGGCAGTGGAGTTTGACACCTTCAAAAATTCATGGGACCCCTATGGCCCTCATGTAGGTATCAATTTCAACTCCATGAAGTCTAACATAACGGCGTCATGGTTGACTCATGATATGTCACAGAGTAAAGTTTTTAATTGTAGCATTGAGTACAACTCCACCACTCTTAATTTAATGGTTTCTTTCACCGGCTACACTAGTGACAATACCCCAGTAGAAAAAAACATTTCATACAAAGTTGATTTGAGATATCACTTACCTGAGTGGGTTATGGTTGGGTTCTCGGCAGCCACGGGAAGTGTGTATGAGGTGAATATTCTCAAGTCATGGTCATTTAGTTCAAGCTTACAAATTAGTGATAGTGGTGATGATATTAATGATGATAATAAACTGGGTAAGGGGCTAGGAATTGGAGTGGGTTTGTGTGTGGCTTTTTTAGGGTTGGCTTGTTTTCTGTTGTGGAAAAGGATTAAAAGAAAGGAAGATGTTTTGGTAGAATTTGATGTGAAAATGGATGATGAATTCCAAAAGGGCATTGGACCCAAGAGGTTTGGCTACAATGAACTTGAAAGTGCAACAAGTAAATTTGCACAGTCAGAGAAGCTTGGACAAGGTGGTTTTGGTGGTGTGTATAAAGGTTTTCTGAAAGATTCAAACTCCTATGTTGCAATCAAGAGGATATCAAGCGAGTCTAAGCAAGGGGTTAAAGAATATGCTACTGAAGTCAAGATCATTAGCCAATTGAGGCACAAGAATTTGGTGCAACTCCTTGGTTGGTGCCATAGGAAAAATGACCTCCTTCTCATATATGAATTCATGCCAAATGGAAGCTTAGATTCCCATTTATATGGTGGGAAAGGCTTCTTGACATGGCCTATAAGGTATAACATAGCTCTAGGCTTGGCTTCAGCATTGCTCTACCTGCAAGAAGAGTGGGAACAATGTGTCCTCCATAGGGACATCAAATCAAGCAACATAATGTTGGACTCAAGTTTCAATGCTAAGCTTGGTGACTTTGGTTTGGCTAGGTTGGTGGATCATGAGAAAGGGTCACAAACCACACTTATAGCTGGGACAAGAGGGTACATTGCACCAGAATATGTGATCACAGGAAAATCTTATAAGGAGTCTGACATATACAGCTTTGGGGTTGTTTTATTGGAGGTAGCAAGTGGAAGAAAAGCCATTGACCTAAATGCCAAGGATGGTCAAGTAACAATTGTTGAGTGGGTATGGGAGATGTATGAATTGGGAGAGTTACGTAAAGTAGCAGACCCAAAATTATGTGGAGAATTTCATGAGGAACAAATGGAAAGATTAGTGGCTACAGGCCTTTGGTGTGCTCATCCAAATTATAGATTCAGGCCTTCTGTGATGCAAGTGATCCAAATGCTAAAATTTGAAGCCGAATTGCCCGTTCTGCCAAAATGGATGTCTGTCACAAACTACTATCCTATAACAACAAAACCAGTTTTTTCATTAATTTCAAACGATGTATTATAAGTAGGAAGTTTTTGTAGTAAAAAGTTGTTGAAAATATTTATGGTTCTAATCATTTTACATTCTAGTATAGTATTAGCTGTTAATGTACATTGTTTTAATTAAAGATTTGATATTATACGATAGCCATATAGTTAGCTTACTAAACAATTTTCCCTTAGTAATTTTATTTTTGAACTTTTGATGGTATAATTGCTGAAGAAGAGGGAAATAGGGTTTACAAGGTTTTGTTTGATGTATTTATCTCCACAACATATATTAAAGCATTGATAAAAAAAAATATTAATTATTTTTTTAAGTGGATTATCCCATCTTGAGATAGAGATGTATTATTCTGAGACGTGGTTCAGTATATTATTAATCCTCCCACTTATATAATAGATTGTTGAGTATCCACCTTAATCATTATATTTTTAAAAATATCTTAATATTTTATTGATTTAGGTCTGTATTGTGTGCCAAATATAATTATTAATGATCATAATTAAGTATTCAAATATATTATCCAATTGTAGGATAAAATTTTGACAAGATCTTGTAATTCTTAAAATACATAAAGGCACAATAAAGTAAGGATCCTAGGACAACAAAGAGAATACATATTTTTGAATGCTTCAATCTTGAATAATGATTTAATTAGATTTTTGTTTAGTGTATTTTTCATATTGAAATACTAATATATCCTTAATTATTTATTATAGTATAAAAAAATAAACAATAAATAAGAAAGAATTGTCATCGAGTCTATTATCATTATTATATATTGAACACGAGCTATTAAAACTTAAGTATATATTTCTTTCTTCAAGAATAATTAGTATAATATATACTTATTTAGCTCATTAATAATGTCTTTTTGTAGGAGCTAAAATTACTATGTGTTCTTACCGGAAATCTGCTGTAGAGCTGATTCGCCAGGTTTTATTATGTATATAACCCACAATCCGTTAATGTTATAGTTTCAAAATTAGTGAATCACCTTTTTAATAATTTTTATGAAATACAAATTTAGTTGGATCAAATATTATATTTAATAGTATTATCAATTAGATTAAGTGTATAAATTTCAAACGATTTCAATAATTCATCAAATTAATTTATTTTATAGTATTATATTTCATCAATTGAAATGATTTAATGA